CGTTGTTGTAGTGTCTGTCGGAAATTGCAAGAGATGCGAGAGATCTCAGTCGGTTAGACTGAACGACCGATGGATGTGGCGTGTTCTTTTTAAGAGACGAACAATGGGAAAAGCAATTTGTTAATTTGCATACGCGGCAATTTCTGTAATTCTCGTTATTGTTTCTGACGATGCGAGGAAAATATACAAACAAATATGTTTCTGGCTGGCAATAATAACCGTTTACGAAAAGTTTAAAATAAGTATGTTGTGTTCTTCTGGAAATAAATTGTTGTTGATAATTATATTGAATTGTTTTTGTTTTCTGGCATTTACAATACTTGCCAAATCAAAGGAATACGTTAAAGCTACAATTTTTGTTCTTCAAAATACGTTACGTCTGTTTATAACATCATTTGCCGTTTGCGACCTATAAGTCTAAGATTATTGTAACGTTTTTAGTTCGTTACATGTCTTTTTTATATATAATATATGATGTCTCTCGTTCAGGCCGGATAGTTTATTTGACGCGTAATTTTTACGTTCTCTAGTCGCCAACCCTGTTATCGTTCGACACAACCCTGTTACTATTCTGTGGAGGCGCGCGCTGTCAACATCGCTTCTGTCAACTCTCCGTGCTTAACCTCACTTTGTTTTGACGCTCTGTTGTATCCCAGCTTTTGGAAATGGTGATTATTTAAGTCTTGCTGTATAATTTGAATCAGCTGCTATTTCAAGGTATAGGTAAAGATGAGTTATTACCTTTTATAGATTCGATATTATTATTGAATATTTTTAGGGTAGAGTTACGGATGTCCCAACTTGTATTTGTGTTTTGCTGGCACGTTGGCGTCTCTTTTCTTTTGTCCTCCAGAATGTCACATGGAAGAAAGGACATGTTGTTTATTATTTATTGAGCCCTCGGAAGTATTTCGAGGTAGGTTTATTTTGTTTATTAGACCTTGTTTGGTTTTAAACAAGAGTTTCATATTTTTAGGGTCCAAGGTACGGACTGTGTCCAAGGTACGGACTATTTCCAAGGTACGGACTGTGTCCAAGGTACGGACTATTTCTAAGGTGCCACAGCGTGGATGTAGCTTGAGTCCCATGCTGCTTCACTCCCATTTCTAAGCCTAGTCAGTAGCTACGGCTGTAAGGATTCATGGTGTCCTCAATCTGGCCCCTTTTGTTGTTTTGACCAACAGGATCTCCGACAGACAGTACAGAGATGCTAGACCATCTCACGCTGCTACTGTTTGAAGCAAGGTTACATAAAAGAACAGCTAAGTGTATATTTAAGTTCTAGTTTTACATTTAACATCTAAAATATTTTCAGTCTTAAACAGTAACGTACATTTTAAATATCGTACAGACTATATTTAGTGGTTAGATTATTAAGAACATTTATGTCGATTCAGTAGTTACAATGTGATTTAGATTTTAGGTTTCATTATATTACGCCTTGTAATAGTATTACTTTCTATAGATATTATTATTGCGCTATATTAACAGATGAATAACGAGACATAGATTCTAGAATCTACAGGTTGCAACACATCAGATTTAACACCGCATAAAATTTAACAATTTAAATAAAGTAATGCTACTTTTCTTATATTTTCTATAATGTTACACGCATTGTATTTTTTCATAGTCTTTTCATAGAACATATTTAATATTATTTACATACATAATTTTACTCAACAAATAACCACTATAATAATTATTAAAATTGTACAATGCTATTTACAATCAGAATTCATCATGAATAAATATAGTCATTAGTTTTAAGTAATACACAACTGTGTTTTCTTTCTCTGTACATGCCTGGCGCCCAATATCTATTTTTTTGTTTATTGTTATTAATTTAGTTTTCTTTCCAGTGAAATACCTTATCCACGACTGCTCTCCGATGAAAAGCTGCCGTTCGCAGTGGTAGTTGTTTAAAAAACGCTACAGCTACTTTTAAAATCGCAAATTCTACTACGCTACTTTTAAAATCGCAAATCCCAACAATCCTCAAGACTTTTACGGTTGTAAAATATTATTAGTTTACAGTCTTATAACAAAATCGTAAATCGCAAGTTTAGTTTTTGAGTTATGTCTCTTTAAAAGAATAATTCTAGATATAATCTATATTAGTTGTTCAATTTGCACGTTCAATTTTTGAAATATATGTGTTTAAAATAAGAATGCTAGAGGTACTCTATATGAGAGTTAGAATCCTTTAACAAGCATCTCATCGACTTTTCTATAATACACACCGTCTTACCCGCTGGAATAGTCTTAATGATATCTTCCTTCCGTAGTTCATCAATTGCGGCTTGGTGGTATTGAATATTTGCTTTTTCGGTTTCTCTAGTACTGTTTTTATCTTCCACCTCAGTTCGTTTGTATCTGGTCCCTAAAGCCTCAAGCTATAGCTCAGCCTAGTTCAGCCATAATAAAGTCGGTTATTGCAGACTTTATGAATGGTCCAAACAGAACAGCAAAAAATTTTACAAAATCCGGCATGTGCACATGAACCCTAGCTGAAAAAAGCGTAAATTTAAAGGGTGCGACATCCCAAGTATTGAAATTTCGATAATCTAGCGCCCATTTATGAAGCGTACCAATACCGACCTCACGCGTAACAGCACATAACTCGGTGCTACAGTGAATGCATTGGTCTGCTATATATATTAAGCTCCGCGCGCACTGCATCGGATCGGACCGACCAGCAAAAACGACTGCGACCATCGTACATATAGACGGCGCCGGCGTCCACTAAAACATTTCGGCCTGTAGAGGCCAGATTCCTACCTCTACCTATCTACGATAGTCGAGTCACCGCCTTCGCCGTTTCTCGCCGGACTGGTACCGATTCAGTGCGCGTACACCTTTATACAGGGTCCGGCAATTGTGCGTCGGGCATTTGTAGCTCCTAGAATAAAAAACTTGAGAATTTTGTTTAAGTGCAAACCTGAAGTATGTACGAGGATGCATTTCAGGAAAATATTTTATCTTCTATAGGGTGGCTCAAAAAAGTGTGAGTGGATCTGGGTGATTTTTTTAAATAGAACACCCTGTATATTATTGCATTTTTGGCTTCCTTTCAGATCACTTTACATGGTCCTAAGATATGAGTAAATGTATTTCGATAGTTCCAGAGATATTAAACAATAAATCAAAAATATATATTTTTCAGCCCTTCTTAAAAAAATTATTAAAAATACAAGAACTGTTCTGAAATCAAATCTATATTAGGTATTTACTTTAGATGGTCTGTTCTTACTTTGTTATAAAATATGGTAATCGTAAATCATACAGGATGTTCAATATTCTACGCCAAACTTTCTAAAATATAAAATAATTTTGCTTCGTTTTTTTTTAAATGATATATAATTTTTTTATTAGATGGAGAATTAAAAAATGAACATTTTTTGTATTTAAAGTATTTCAAAATTTTTAATAGTTTTGCGGATACACGCAGTATTATTTTATTATTTTATTCAGTTTCATATGGCGCTGCAATGGTAAAATACCAGAGAAAAATCAATGGGTGGCTTTGATAAAAATTTACTGTGGAAAATGCCATATGAAATATAAAACCGGGAATATCTGCGAAACTGTTAAAAATTTTGAAAACTCTAAAAACAAAAAATGTTCATTTGTTAATTTTCCATCTATTGAAAAAATAATATACAGGTTCGTTCGATCGTTCTATTTAAAAAAACGAAGAAAAAGTATTTTATATTTTAGAAAGTTTGGCGTAGAATTTTAAACATCCTGTATGATTTACGATTTCCATATTTATAGCAAAGTAAGTACAGACTATCTAAAGTAAATATCTAATATAGTTTTGATTTCAGGACAGTTCTTGGTATTAATAATAATTTTTTTAAGAAAGACTTAAAAATATATAATTTTTATTTATTTATTAATATCTCAGAAATTATCAAAATATATTTACTCATGTCTTACGATTATGTAAAGTGATCTGAAAGGAAGCAAAAAATGCAATAATATACAGAATGTTCCATTTAGAAAAAATCGTCCCAATCGTCCCTCACACTTTTTTGAGCCACCCTATATGCTTATTAACCTATGCTGCTTAACAGTTTAAAAAGAAATGCTGCTGTTAAAAATTTACTATAAAAATATGTGAAAATCTGACTTAAGCCTTTTATAAAATGTCAAATCTTTTTAATGACGTAAGTCTTTTCTAAAAAGATTTTTTTTTAAATTTCGGAATAAAGATTTAAATCACAAATAATTTTCAAAAAGACTTAAATTTTAAGTCTTAAGTCAGCTTTCGAAAAATGACTTAAAATCAAATGACTTAAGTCATTAAAATGATTTAAATAAAGAAAATACTTAAGTTTTCTGTGAGCTTGCAGCCCTGTATACATAGTAGTTTAGAAATTTCATTAGTTCGCACTGGTTAACGGTCAATGATATAACTAACTGAACCGTTGCTTGTGTCAGTTAAAATCAATTAAGATGATGGAAGTACAAAATACTTGTAGCCATTTTCTGCCACATTCGATTACACAAATGCTTGAATTTAATGAAGTATTTTAATCTCGTTTAGCATATTCATATTATTAGATACTTTAAAAAATCACTAAAGAGTAGTATCCTTGATTATGTATAAATAGATGTACAATGAGGGCTTAGTACAAGCCCGTCTTCTAGGTGGCGCCTTGCCCGTTCTGAATTTTTGTATTCCCCTACGATTTTCTTTGAGGGGAATCCGTTAAACCCGCCCATCGTTCAAAAATGGAAGGGCGCGAGGTCACATCTATTGGGCCACTTATTAGCACGTTTCACCCATGTTTTACGAAAATAGCTTTATCCTTGTTTGTTTCAACTGTGACAAGAAAAAAGGAAAAAAGTTATATTCGCTTCTAAATTCGGCAGTTTTGTTGATCTTTCTCGACTTGTAATTTCGTTTCGTTTAGGTTATGTCTTATAAAAATAAATATTTATAAGCTTTTGAATTGAAATATACCTTAATGCATATCTGAGTAATTAAAAATTCAGATTTTTCGTCCCTCGCGAAGAAACATAAACAGTATTTGTGAAATTTGGATTAGAAACTATTATTTTATTAGTTTATTTTGTTGTGTTTAAGTGTTGTGTATTTGTACCTACTGGATAATATTTTCCAACATATTTAATTAAGCAAAAAGCATCTGTTTTACAGGTAAGTAAATACTGTTCATATTTATTTCTAAATTCATATAAATTTGTTTTAAATCACTCTTGGGAAAAAATGTTATAGAGTCTGAGATAAGTTTAATAATAAACATTTGATAGATTGATAGATAGATTAAACGATAATGCCCAGTTTGCTTAAAAGTTTAAAAAATACTGATTTTATGCTATAAATTGTTTCATTTCTCACTTTGCTTTTTGGAATTGTCAGATATATTGTGTATTTTATAATTTTTCCGAGAATTTTTCTTAATAACTTGATAACGTAAAATATTTTTTTATCTACAGTCAACCCTGTGTTTAGATAAAGCTTCATATCAGATTTCCTATTTTATATTTTCACTCAAATCATATTTTTTGTAAAATATGCTTGCAAAAGTAGCGTAAATTTGACAGGGAGGTATTTTTTATAGATACAGGATGATTCAAATATATATTTACTTTTAAAGTTATTAGTTATGAGCAAAGGTTATGAGTTTGTGAAAAGAAAGGCTATATTTTGTATTTTTGCTTGGTGGATTTGTTATTAAATTGTCATTCCAAAAATACCATAATGTCGTAGTCGTATAGAGTTCATTTTGACCAAAGAATATATTTTGACCCTTTTTGGATTGAATTTTATTGTTTATATAATAAAATATATATTTAAAACCCTCTCTTTCTAAGTTAAGTTAAAAATAGGTAATATCGACGTTTTTTACTGGAACTAATTTAAGTTAATAATTAATAATTATATAATTCATATAATAATATTAAAATAGACTAAATTGTTTATTATATACAGGATGAGTCAAAACTAGATATTATATTTTTCTTTGCTATTTCAAATGAAACACTGTATTTTATATCATAAATCAACAAAGCTTTTATGCAACTTTTGTTTTATTAAGATCTATATCCCAAATTAATAGTTATTAAATTGTTTTCAATTGTCTCTTTGCGAATAAACATGATTTGTTTTACGCAATTTTATTAAGTAGGTTTGTCGTCAAAAGTGATGTATCTATTTATCAGCGACAAAAATTAAAATTAGATGTCTAAAATAATTTCCTAATTATTTTTTTACTTGGCATCAGTAAATATGATTTATTTTATCGATGCAGCTGAAAATAATTATCTATTCTAAAGAGGACATTGCTGTATAAACATCGATTATGGATTTAAAATTATTTTTCAAAACAAAGTTGGACAAAATTTTTGGAGAAAAAATTGGACTTCTGTTCGAAATAATTGAGAAAAACCAACATCTAGTTTTGACGCCCCCAGTATATATCGTGCATTATAGTTGATTATACTGCAATTTATTATACACACGTAGTTTTGTTTGGTGAAAATGAAACTTTCTAAAAGTATTCCCAATTAAAACATATTAAAATTTCCTACATTATAATTTTGAAAGACGTTTGAGTGGGCAGACAATTTGGTCTAAAATAATCATATGTCTAAAAAAAATTAGCTAAAATAATCAAAAACCACTTAACACATATAACTCGCTTTTAAAAAATCTAAAAGAAATAAGTTTGTTTATTATATTCATATTTTATTAAATTATTATAGGTGTGACTGCTAAGTGGTCGTACTCGCCACTTTAACCAAGCATTGGTGGGACCTTCAGAGATCATAATGCGAATTTCTTCATACCATGTAAATCTATATACATGTATTAATAAATGCGTTTGCTTTATTAAATTTTTTTTCTTATACGGTATGAGCGAAAAAAAACGGCGTCTATTTGTTTACGTACAAATGACATCGATATTCATTTCCAAACCACCTCTGAGGCCGTTTTTTTTTATCGTATGGTATATATTTACATATCCCTTATCCTTTAATTCCGATTTATTTCTAATAATTATAAAAATAAGATACCTGATTAATTCTTCCGAAATATTATAAAATGAGATATCACGAAAGAAATAAAGTTAATTATCTCGTTTGTTTTGGGAATTCCAAAAAAATAAAAAAAAGGGTATAGAGAATCTTTAGAGACACAGTTCAAATGTTATTTTTGAGTATACTGGTTGCTTCAAAAAATGTGGCGGATACATGTTTTTTAATGCAAAACTCCATTTTTATTTTATTTTCGATTCTGCCTAAAATTCTATAACTTTTTTTTATAAATAACGTTAGTAAGTATTTACAATTTAAAAAAAAAGTAAAATTTTATTCCTATGTTACTTAACTGTCAGTTGTTTCCGAAGTTGGACTACACAAATTTGGTAGGAGTGTTTTACAGAGATGAAAAAAAAATATATTTATATGTAAAAATACTTGCAGTTAGATGCTACACTGTGTTCAAACATTTTTTTTGGCTGATCCGATATATATATTATTATTTTTTCTAGTGATTTTACAAAACCTTTCAACATTTGTTAAGAAAGTATATTAAGTACACCTATACTCAACAGCTTGCAATCTGTTCTGAATTTTATCCTTCTTTTAATTCATTTACATTATAACAAGTTGCCATATGACAAAACAAAAATTATTTATTATTAAACATTAAGTAAAGTGATTTATTTAGTTATATGACATTCTTAATAGAAGTTGAAGGATTTTGTAAAATCTATCAGAAAGAATTATAATATATCGGGTGTTTTTCAAAAGTAGCTTGATTGATGTATTCAATTAGTTTCGGTCATTTCTTGTTTCACCGGAAATGACTACAACTTTTGGTTTTTAAATGGTACCGTCGGTATTTTTTTACTTTATTTTGCAGAATATGGCATTCTCAATAGAATAATTCAATGTCAACTTTTGACTCTTTTACTTAAAAAATAGTATTTTAAAGTTCAATCTAGTAGAGTGCCATGATAATAAACAACATGTAACCGGTCGTAAAGATAACGACAGTTTGACTCGACATACGGAGTGTGTGGTACCAAATTATTTACCAAAATTAGGTACCAAAATTTATTAGGTATCAAAAAATGCTTTTCCAAATATGCTAATGAGCCACTCTCGTTTCATTAAAAAAAATTGAGTTATGATTAAAATACGAAATGGGCATATTTCAACTGACCAGGAAAAGACACAAAAAATATTAGACGACCAAATCAATTTTTCCAAAGCTCCTTGATTAATCCTTGATTAAAAAATAATGGTTTTAACACAGCCATGACACTAGATTGAATTTTAAAATGCTATTTTTGATTTAATTGAAAATGTCAAAAGTTGACATATGATTGTTGATGTCAAAAGTTGTCATTCTATTCAGAATGTCATTTTCTATCAAATAAAGTACCGTATGATCGAATAAAAACGGCGTCAGCAATGGCTATGAAATGAAAAGCGCTGTCATTTTATATGTAAATTTATATGAGAAATGTCATCGATGTTCATTTCATAGCCATCGCTGACGCCGTTTTTATTCGATCTTACGGTATAAAAAATACCGAGGGTACCATTTAAAAATCAAATGTATACATTTCCGGTGAAACAGGAAGTGACCGAAACTAACTGAATACGAATCAATCTCGATTTATGTCATATACCTACTAACATTCCCAATTTAGTTTTTTTCTCGGAATCTGAAAAAATAAAAAAGTTATAGAGGTGAACCACTTTAAAAAAAAACACTCAGTATAGGCTGTGTCATTGAAAGAGTCTGCAGATATTTTTTTAATTTTAAATACGTAGAATTAACCATTAATATATGTTGAACACCCTGTAGCATCTGCCTTAAATATCTACATAGTATCTAATATTTTTTCTTCATCAACAAATTGAAATATTAGAAAACTAGTTTTAGGTTACACCATTATACAAGGATTATACATAAAAAAGTAATAATTTTACGCAGGATCTAAAATAAAATAGGATGTTACATTTAAAAAAAAACATTATGTTAAATCCGTCATACTTTTTACAAAGTTACAGAGGTAGGTAGGTATACTTTCATATATTTTTTTAATTATCCATCTAGAAATAAAATATATACATATATACCTAATATAATAATTTAGTATTTAACAAGGGGCCATGAAAATCAAAATAAATATAAATCCATATCCAAAAATAAAAAATGTAAATAACGCTTTGAGGTAAAAATTCGGTTCAAAGCAGATAAGATATTTTATTCTTTACCGAGAATTAAATTCGAAGAATTCCTAGTCCCTACTTCTTTGCCAAATTCAATAGTCTCCGCCCCTTTTTACGTTTTAATTTCTGCCACCAGTTGGCAGCATCGACTTATACAGGCACATTGACTAACTATTAATATATAAACAAGGGTAGTATATAATAAAAGCATTTCAGTTTTATTTTTTCCTCAAAATTATCCTTCTTTGCCGGTAATGCTCATATTAAAATGGCAAAATTATCATTTAGCCAGGTCATTAAACCTGACAGTCTTCTCTCTTCCGTTTCCCCTAGCAATCTAAGAATGTCTTTCGGCAGGAACGTCGTTGTCCCTTAAAAGTAGGGGAGACAAGTATAAACATTTTATTTTAGTCAGGTACAGATACAAGATACTATCCGGAACGTTTTTCCCATTCTGTTCATATTTGAGCTAATCCGTGAGCTTAATGCACACATTCGAAAGTATCGGGTGTCCCAGACAAACTATTCGTTTTATTATTGTATCGTATGTAGGAAAGTATATCGTAAATTGTCCTAGTTTACTACAACTTTGTGTGTTTTTAAGGATTTATTCAAGAGTTTTCTATAGTTGGGACTAAAAACTGAAATAACTTAAATTCTTAAGCAGCTTTTTGATGCTGTTGCCATATTAGAAAATTCAGTTTTATTATAATATGCGAAATTTAATATGAGATTTTTATTTAAAGATTGGTAAATGAGAGAAAAAAGTAAACACGAAAGAAAGAGAACAGGTCTCTTGTTAAAAATTGTTACGAATAATGGTTCTCGAGATATTTGAAATCTAAATTATCAATACCCTGTCATCATTGACATAAATTAAAACACGTTAACTAAATAGTTATTAGACTGAAATGATAAATTTGGAATGTTTTTGTGCTAAAAGTTCACCAGAAACTGTTCTATCATCATTTTTTCGAAGAAAAATTTATGATCAATTTAAAAAAAATAAAAAGTTCCTAAATTTATCATTTCAGTCAAATAACTATCTGCTCAACATGTTTGTTTTTATTCATTAATGGCATGTGTATTGACTATTTTCGATCTGAATATCTGAAGAAACGGTTGCTAGTAGAGATTTTTACGAGAGACCTTTAGAGACCTTTTTTACAAGTTAGAAAATGTGTAGGTGGCGCCCTCTCACAAGTAGGAGTCATATTGACATCAAAATCAAATTTCGCATGCCAAAAAACTCCCACATACCAATTTTAATCCAAATATTGACGTTACTTCAGAAATTATTTAGAAAAAATTAAAATAAAAATGAAACTTTATTTAACATTTTTTTTATTAAAATTAATTTTGGTTGTTTACAAATCAATTTTATTTTGTGTGTTTCTACCTTGTGAAGATTTGTGAAAAGATAGAAACCGCAGTTAGTTTTATTTTTCCTGATTTGTTGGATAATTTAATGAATGTTAATCTATGTAATTCAGAAAGATAAAAAAAGTAAAAAATGGAAGAATTTCAAAATTTCAAATTTTTCAAAATTTAGTAAGTTAAAATTATTTGGGCTCTTAATTTTAACACTGCCTTTGTCGGTGTCATTGTCGACTAACATGATTTGAGAATTACTATATCTACTTTTCTTTCGCAACAAATAAAAGTCGCATAAAACATATTTTATATGCTTATGAAATACCACGTTATAAAAAAAAAACCTTGGCTTTGTCATGAGAACTAAAATACAAGAAAATATAAATAGCCTTTATTCTAATAATGCAGTTAATACCTTTAATAATAATTTTAAATAAACTTCAATTGTCGCTGTCAAAAACTTCAAAGTGTCCTAGTGCCAGTGTTGTGAACAAGCGCCAAATCGAGTTTTATATCTCGTCCAAAATGCAAGCTCTAAAGTTTTCGTTTTTTAAATCAAATACTGTATCATTTTGCTCAATATATTTGTCATAAAATTCACATTTTAAGATATTATTTCATGATATAAGTGATGTAAAGAAGAAAGTATAGGTAACTTAAATTTCAAATCAAACAACATAAACCAACTTAACTGAATTTGAGACAAAAGCCCTGAAATATTGAATTAAAAATGCAAATATCTATTAAAACATAACATAATAAATACACACACCGGAAAAATCTAGTGATATCATTTTATTAAAGTTATAAATAAATGTTTTGAATAAACAATCACATATTTGTAGGCCGATTCTTTCTACTTCGATTGAAACGAAGTAGTCACACTAGTTATTTCTAAATTTGGGATATTTGCAGAAGTGTTTGTGCATTTTTGTCAAATGTATAAAAAGCACCTAGCATCAATTGTTCGAATTTAAACTGTACTGGCTATGTTTTTATGATAACTAGCCAGAATTCATTCAAATAACTCTGTTTAGTATTAAACGACATTATGGAGCGTAGACATCTTAACAGAGACGAAATGCTAAGGGCCATGGGTATGCTCGAAGCTGGAATGTGCCAAATCGAGGTAGCTAGAGCATTAAATACAACGCAAAGTGTAATATCGCGATTAAGTGCACGCTACCGTGAAAGTGGTGATGTTGCTTAAAGGCACACAAGGCGACATCGCATTACTACCCCTCAGCAAGATCATTTTTTACAATTAAA